CAGCCGCCACCAGTTCCAGCCGCTCTGTCCGACATGCTCGCCGCCCTAGAAGCGCAAAATCTCCCCGTATCTCCCCGTATCTCCCCGTATCTCCCCGTATCTCCCCGTATCTCCCCGTATCTCCCCGTATCTGTCTGGACATTACTCACTCTGCGTCTGTCGCTCGTCTTCACACAGTGCTCTGCGTGCTCTGCACGGTACCGTCCTCCCGCCCTGATGTCGGCGTATTCAGCACGCAGGCTCGACGTCGCATTCGCCGCCCTCGACGGGCACTTCCGCGCCCTTGTCGCGCCGCCCGCGCCGCCGCCGGACAGAGCCCACGACGACGGCGGCAACGGCGGCGGAAACAACGGCGGCGGAAACGGAAAGGGCGCCGCGCCGCCGGCGGTGCCGCTGGCGACGCTGATTCCAAAGCTGATCAAGCTGCCGGCGTGGGTCTTGCCCGACCCCGCAGGGCAGCCGCCCGCCGCCACGCCAAACGGCTCCGCGCAGCAGGCGACCGCACCAAACGGCGGCGGCCCTACCGGCGGCGGCCCTGGCGGCGGCGGCGCGACCTTGGGTGAGGTGTCCAGGTCTAGAAGCAGAAGATCGTGCTCTTGTCTCCCAGCTAGCGCTCGACAGGACAGCCGTATTCCGCTGTCTTCGCTGTCTTCGCACCCCTCGTCTTCACGCGGTGCTCTTACACTGCACAATGCTGTATTCCCGCCCCCAGGTTGGCGCATTCACGCAAAAGACAACCCCGGGCCCAGATCACACGCCTCGGACAGTCGAGAACGGACAGGCAGACAGAGATCGCGACTAGTCAGACATGCAACGTGTTTCACCACGTAGGCCGCCATGTCCCTCGTCTCGGTTCCGTCGCTCGGCGAGCTCTGCTGGAGCTTGTTCCTCGCTGCGCCTCCCGACCGCCCCGCGCAACCCGCGCCTCCTCCCCACCGGGTAGAGGCCGAGTCGCGGCCAGGCCCAAGGCTGGACCCGGCGCTCGAGGCGGCGCTGGATGCCGAGCTCGCCGCGGAGCTCGGCTGACAGCTCGCATGTAATCCCTAGAGTGCATGCCTCTCTCCGGTAGCGAACCGTATTTTCCCCTCACACAAAGTTCTACGATCTCCGCTTCCGTATGTGTCCGATTGCGACGCGTGAACTGTTAGGCCCAAAGTTAATGTTAAACAGCTCTAATGCAGAGAGAGGCCGTGAGATGTACACAAAACTATTGATTTCAGCCGGCCGGCGGAATGCGGACGCCGGTCGCAGTTACAGAACTCCGACATTGTGTGTATGGCACTGGAGTGTGCAGGGAAGCGTGTACGGTATGGGGTGCCTCACCATGTGTAAAAGGCGCTACGGCCCCTACGCAAGAAACACAACTCACAAGATGTTACTGAGTCACAGCCACCTAGGATCAACCTCCACTAAGATCAAGTGCTGCGAGCGAGCGATCTACTGGCCCGCCCTTGCCACAGATCTTCTTGTGCGCCTTCCAGTCGCTCTTTTGGCACCCGACAGAGCAATACTCCACCTCGTGGCAACGGGCGCACTCCTTCAGACGGATTGAGGCAGAGGCGGCGGCACCGCAGGAGTGGCAGGTGCGAACGAGCACGCCGGCCCGCTTCGCAGCATTGCGAGAGACCTTGCCGAGCCCACGAATCGAGTTTTCGCGCTGAGCGATCCAGTTGGGACTGGCGCGAGTCGTCCGATCCATCGCTGCTGCTTGCGCTGGCGACGATGGCGTAGGCCCCTGCTCGAACTGCTGAAGCAGCTGCCTAGTCTTCTGCTTTGACGACTCGCACGTCACTCCCGCGTTGTCGATCGTAAATGAGCGGACAGCCTGGGGGAAGATGACGTAGGGCCATCCCGTGGCAGGGACGATCATCGTGTTCGGGCTGGCCATGTCAAGGCCATCCGGAAACGAAAAGAGCTCCTCCACGATTGGCCCGATCTTCTCTCTCTTTTCGAATGCCATATCGAGGTAGAGGGAGAGCAGCATCTGCAGGATGTGCTTGCGCTGTCCTTCGTCACCGAAGGCAGAGGTGAGCTGTAGAGCAGCCAGGTAAACTGGCTCCGCGCGCGCCAGCTGGCCCCCTCGCTTGAGCGCGAGGGCAAGGAAGCTGTACATCGTGGGCAGCTGCTGTGGTTTTCGGAGTACCATCGGGTCTTCAGACGCGGCTCGAATAAGCTGCTGGTACTCCTTCGCTGCATCTGCGAAATTTTCAACAGCCTCGTGGTTTTCAGCCAGGCGAAGGGACAGCTCCGTGGTGGCGCGGCTCCACGGCCGCGGTGCCTCTCCAGAGCCTCCGTCGAGGCTCGAGTTTTCGATGATCAGCAGAGTCCTGTCCAGAGTGATGCATTCGGCAAAGCGGTGCTGTCGCAGAAGGGCACTGGAGGCGAGCTGCACCCCGAGCGCCCAAAGTGCCAGCAGGTTGCCGCTCACAATCGCCTCGTGGAGCCCAGAGATCAGGAGGGAATCGAGCGTCGCCTTTTGTTGCTTGATTGAGAGGCCGGTTGAGCCAGCGGGCGTGACGAGGTACGCGTCCGACGTCCACCCGTGCGTTATCGTCGCGGGACTCAGCAGGGCAAAGGCTTCGAATGGCACACTACGCACAACGCCTCGCACGAGAATGCGGTGGTCGTCTACGACCACTTGGGTGTTCAGAGGAACGCCGTCGCCAAAACTGCTGGCAGCGCATACTAAGCAGCGCAGCGGGCAGGGCGGCTCGCGCAGCGCGCGCGATCGCGCAAGCAGCGCGCGCGCGCGAGCGAGCGAGCACACACACACACACACACACACACACACACACACACACACACACACACACACACACACACACACACACACACACACACA